TTTTTAATTTCTTTTGCTTTTTGTCTTAACCTTTCTTCTTTTCCTTTCAACTCTTTCTCTTTTCTTTCAATTTCCTTTCTCCTCTCCTCAATCTCAGTGGCTGCCAGTCAGCTCCTTACTTCTATTTCTTCTTCCAGGGATAGCTGTAAAAATGAGTAACCGACCTATAATAATCTGTCTATTATTGTTAACTTATCTTACCCCCATCTCTACGATAATAAAATATGATGAGGTCATCCTTTAAAACAAAAAGCATCCTATCTGTTTGTTGAAGCCTTGTTTCATCAGGCGGGAGGGGAGGTGAGGTAGGGTAAACGCCGAAAAAAAAATAGCCATAGGGGAATGGCGCGGGTTTTGGAGAAAAGGCCTGTTTCCATTCGTGCTGACGTCATTATGGTACCGTTTGGCTGAGCCCTATCTGCATTTTGTTATTTTAAGATGCCTTTTGCTTTCGCAGAAAACCATGAGATTGGGAGTCTTGCCCTATCAGCACTTTGCTAGTGTCACCCGGGGACTTCTGTAAATTATATAAATGAGTTACAGTACTTTCTCATTTCATTTTTGTTTGTATAAAGCTTGTTTTACTCATTTGATATCTTAAAATTTGAGGTACAATTTGCTCCGCACAAATAAAGATATTAATGCAAATGTATATCATCATATCTCTGGGAGTATTTCAAATGTTTCTGCCTTTTATTTGAATGGTACTTAGCTCCTTATACAGACCTGCCAACCCCTCATAAAGGAAAATCTGGAGACTCATGGAAAAAAATCGGGAGATTCTACAAAAAGTATAGTGAGATTCTATTTTTTCCCGATCAAAATTAAACAACCCCTTTTCCATTAGGGGAATAAACTGTTTATTTTAATATAACCTTGCTTTAGTGTGGTCCCTTATGTAACAAATTAGATGCCGCTTTTTCTTTGATGACTTTAAGAGGCCGGAAAATAGGTTATCACTGTGACGAAACATACAGCAGAGTCATTTCTTTGGTCTAAGACAACTTCATCCAGGCACAAGAATTTCCCCACAAAATTTATGTTTTTATTCAACAAGGTAATATTTCAATTTAGAATATTTCCCAGAAAACCATGTTATTGAGAGTCTTGTGGTGAGACCGTGAGAAAAGTTAAAAAATCGTGAGACTTAGAGCAGAATTGTGAGAGTTGGCAGGTCTGCCTCATATGACATTTCCTATTGAAACCTGTACGTAGTAGGAAGAAACTTTGTATTAAGTGGGCACTACAGCATTCTCTGAGATGTCCGCTTAAATTATACAAGTTTCACTGTACATGTTTGACTCCATTCGCACTAACTATTGATGTGGAACGATATGAAATTGCTTCATGCATAACAGATGTACATGTTTGGAGCTGTATGTAAATCTTATTAATTTTTTTTTGCTATTTATGAAAACATAATGTAAGCTTATAGGTATTACAGAGAAATATCCTTTGCTTCAACAAGATGGTACAACCTTCAAGTGTTAAAAAAATATATATTCCTGGTGTAATTATTATAGATACATAGTGTTGAGGCCTTGAGGGAAGTCTTTGGTTTCCTTTTTCTTAAAACCGAAAAATAATTGACTTACATTGTGCCGGGGTAACCGAGTCGAGGTCATCTGTTTATATCAATATTAAGCGCACTCGAATGGACTGATCATTTTTACTGCTAATTTCTCCCATTAAACATCAAGGACAATGTTTTCCACTATTGCTGACCTACCCTTCTGCCAAGTTTCGAATTTCCACACCAAACCGATTTTCTAAAACATGCGATGTTAATATGCGATCATGCAAATTTCTGCGACAAATATTCCACTTGAAAAAATTGGCTTAAACTGTTTACGAGGTAATTATCAACAGAATATAATACAATTAACTCTCCTTCTCGGAAAGCTGAAAGAGCTGTTGCAACTATACTTTCCCTCTAACAGAAACTACTTTAAAGTTTACTTATCCCGAAAAGACAGCTTGAATAGGTGGTACTATTGGCATTATTGGAGATAACAGCAAAGTAATGAATACAATTGCATCAGTTCTGGGACTACGCTGGCACACTCGAATGGACTGATCATTTTTTCTGCTAGTTTATCTCAATTAACTTCAGAGACAATGCTTTCCAATAGAAGTAACGCATCCTCATGCCAAGTTTCGATGTTCAACACCTCACCGATTTCGAGAAAATGCGATATTACTGTGCGAACATGCAAACTTTTACGGCACATTATTCCACTCGAGGAAATTGACCGAAACTGTTTACAGCTCTCATACGCGTTATTTTTCGGATTAATACACATTTCACTCACCTTGTCGGAAAGAGATGTTGGAACTGCACTATCCTACCGTGACAAAAACCATTTTGGAGCGTCAATATCCAGGAAAACCAACTTTAAAAGTAGCATTTGGAAATGACAACGGCGCCATTTTCGAAAACTCCTCGAAGTTGCGCGCTTCTCTCTTCGTGACGTCACGATGGCCAAGATCGTCAGGACAAACAAACTACCAAGTTCACCACCCCCCCCTGGTCTGGTTATGTTAGTTGCAGTGAGTGACACGCGACCGCTGAAACAGTGATCTCTGATTGGCTGCCACCACCGCCACCGAACATTTGCAAGAACCAATCAGATCCAACCTTGTAAGAGCTGAGAGCCTACCGCATCCACCGCATCCCGACCTTCAGGGCGGAAAAATGTAATGAGCATGCGTGAACTTTTTTGCCCAGATCCCCTGGCCGGGTTTGAAAAAATGGCGGGATTTCAAATATTTTATTGCCTAAAAATAGAATGTTTTCACTCATAATCTGGAAAGAACAGGCAATTTGTCTTTAAAAGTTGCAAGCTGTGGTTATAACCTTGTCGTTACTTAATTTTCTCGAAGAATACCTCATAGTAAAACGGACTTTAACGACATTAATTTCCTTGCGTTGTACTGGAAATGTGCATGCGTAGCTCCGATTTTTTTCGAGATTGATTCACAAAATGTGTTCATATAAGGAAGTTCCTGGATATATAAGGTCCGGAGCTCCACTGTGGACACAAAAACAACATATCTTTGGACAGTGATTTGCCCCAAAAAATTAACGCTTGCCCACAATGTGTTTGAAGTCACTGAACTTTGTCGCACTCGAGCTGATATTTTAAAACCCTCGCTCGATCGGACACTCGTAGTTTCGCAGATCACTAAAATATAAACAAAATTCTCAATGTAGAAGTTATTGCGTTGATATGTGGGCAGAAAAAAGGTCAATCTTTATCTAGTAAAATCTTCCCAAAAATCGGTTTCAAAGCAACTATAGTTTTTTAAACTTGCTCGTTTCGCGCAGATATATAAAAACTGCTTTGTGTTGTCAAGTTGAACAGGCATTAAACATCTGTCAAAAACCTACGCGTAAGTAGGATTTCCTTTAAACAAAGTTAAAGTTACATTATTTCAAAAACTTCTTGTTGACAATGAAGAAATGAATTTTCTGTGCGAAAACAACCTACCTAAAGATCTTTAAAGCAAAAGATCAGTTGCAACTTGGCAGCCAAGCCATGATCCACTATTTAGCTATTTTCAATAAGCTTAACTGGTCCATTCGAGGGTCTTCGTTTAAGCAAATTAAACTCAGCCGATCATTAGAAAATACAGAAAATTGCACATAAGGGTTTGTTTTGCTCGCCTCAGTCAAATCAAGCTGCAGCAATTGTTTACGGGAAAAGAGTCAATTGTTTTGAAGTTTAACACTGCCGGCAGTTGTCGTTCTCTACTTCACAGCGAGTGAAAAGGACAATTTGTGTACAGAAAGTTACTCTTACAAAGAACAGAAACTTTCACAGTGCACTGGAAAGCAAAACTATGTCCTAGTAATGAAAAATGAAAAAAACTCTGACTACATGTATTATTACTTGAGTCTTGAGTAAGCTTGCTGGTCTTCTTCTGTTTCGGAGAAAGTTTAATAAGCGCACAACGGTTTGTTCACTCTGATGCGTTAAAACAGCAATATGGTTCTTTCACTGAAGACAAAGATAAAGCTGGTTCTGCAAAGGTAATAAATCTGGGCATGTAAAAAAGTAACCGTAACTACTAATAACAGAATACAACCGGGTTTTAATTCAGCCCGGCGAAATCAACTCAGTAATAAATTAATCGGATGCACAATCAGAAAAATACTCGCCTCTTAAGAAATGTTCAAAACCTTTTATTCCACCTCAGATTGACGGAATGATCCGTTTTCCTTTAACATTGGTTGTTCTGAATCCAAAGTAATTCTCAAGCGACGAAAAAAAGCAAACATTTCAAATAAAAATGCTTTACAGGGAGCAAACGTTCGCACCTCGTGCATTTCACTCAGAACTCCAGCAACAAACAAACACTGTCAACACACAGAAAAGCCCGCCTTGAGCCTGCGATAAGGGATGCGCAGAAACTTGCGCAGAACGTTTTTCCGCCCTGAAATCCCGACCGCATCCGCCATGTTTGAGCTATACTGGTTACCAGTCTCCCCACTAAGTGAGCTGCGTCATCACGTGCGTCTTTTCAACCAATGGAAAAGTGTGAAATGAAGTTCCGTTTGGTGAGTTCAAATTCACGCGGACTTTCATTAGCAAGAGCACAAGTATTTTGCATCCGAAATTGACGTTTTTTTAAACGCGGATTGTTCATTTATTTTGTTGTTGACACATGAAACGTGCTTCCAGTCATGTCCGAGAACGATAAGTCAGCTGGATTGTGAAAGGTAAAGGTACGTTCCTGCTTCGTAATGTGTCTTCTTTTTTTTTTTTTTTTTTTTTTTTTTTTTTATTGACAAGAAAAAAAATTAATTACAAATACTTATTATTTTAACTATGAAAATATATATATATCTATATGGCAAAAAATAAACTAAATTTGTAACGAAAAAAAAACAAACAAACAAACAAACTAAATTCAAAGGAAAAAGACGCAAACCTGATAAGTGAAACAGTATAGCAGTAAAGTGTAGCTTGAAGGAAATGACACTAGCATTCACGTATCTAAAGAAGTTTGTCCCATGTTTTTTTGAATTGCGATAAGCAGTTAGATCTAAAAGCTATTGTGCGAAGAATATCAATTTTGTTGTTGAGACGCAGTAGAAAACTGTCAAAGTCCAGGACGCCGTTGCGTACGCTTGTAGCAAAAACATTATATTTGGCGACAATCAAACAGTAATTAAGCACTTCCCAGTTATTTGACTCTTTGTGCCAACCATATAGAATAGTGCTTTCAGATAAAGTCAGTTTGTGTTTAAATTTTTCGTGCCACCAGTTAGAAAAACAAGTCCAAAACGAAGAGGATACACTACAGGTAATTAACATATGTTTTAGAGATTGACTTTCAAGGTTGCATAAAGGACAAACATCAGTATCAGTTATGCGCGCGCGGAAGAGGCTAGATTGGGTAGGTAAAATCATAGTTAATTGAGTGGATGGTTATGAAACCCGTCAGACTCCTTTGTTATATGTTTTTGTGAACCTGAAAGTGCACAACGTTCAAAAGAATTCCTATCATTTTGATTGTATTGACCAATAAAAACGTTGCATTAATTTATTCCGTAACAATTTGCCAACAGAAAACAAAGGATTGTGCACTTTCACGGTGCTTTGAACATAAACTGGAGCACTGTTGTTTTTATCATTGATGTTTGCCGCTTTTCATAACCAGTCTCCTCTAATAACTATGGTAAAATGTTGTGAATAATTTTGACTTGGAACATGATCAGTTTTGGTTCTTTCAAGATTTTAAACGGGAGCATGTAGATGTAAGGAATTTCCTCTTTGGTAAACCCATGATCTAGAATTCTGCCTTCAGCAGTGGGTGCTGAGAAGCTTTTATCAAGTATGGAAGAGTAGGCTTCTTTTGTGGAAAAAAGCTTCAAGGATGTTTCGCGCTTTTCAGATTCATCATGCACGCCTGCTTTGACTCGTAGTGCACTTTTCCATTCAGTTGGTATGGCTCTTAAAAGGCCGTAATAAGTGGTAAAAGGAAATTCAAAGTTATATTTTTCTTTCATTTCTGATAAGGTAAGAAATTTAAGGTTAACATTTAGAAGGTCTTCGATGCAACGAATTCCACTTGTACACCAGGATTTAATATAAATTGGTTTTCCATCAATACATATGTTACGGTTATTCCAAATTATTTGTTTTTTTATGGAAATTTGCTTGTCACAGGTTAGTCTTCTGAAGTCATGCCAGTAATTTAAAATGGTGTGGTAAAACTCCGGAAGGTTCTCTAAGTTGAGTAGTTTAGGATCGTAGTCGCATTCGATGAGGAACTCTAGACCTCCGTATTGGTTAAGAGCTTGATTTGGGATTTTTTTCCACGAAGCATTACTTGATTCAGCAATACGCTTTATCCAAGCAATCTTTAGCGACCGCTCCATGATTTCAAAATCAATCATTTTTAGGCCCCCACAGTGTTTTTCACCAATGATAGTCTTTTTCTTAATTTTGGGAGGCTTACCCTCCCAAATGAAGCCGAAAATAATCTTATTAATTCTGTCTATAAGGGATTTAGATACGGTCAGTAACGAACTGCAATATATGAGTTTCGACAAACCTAACGTCTTCACAATATTGATTCTGCCAATTAAAGTTAGCTTTCTTTTTTTCCAGTTGTTGAGTGTTTTTTCTAAAGAACAAACCTTTTCTTCAAAATTAAGGGTGTTGGCTTGCTTTAAGTCATAGGAAAAGTGTATACCAAGGGCATAGACTGGTTCTTGGGGCCATTTAAAACCAAACGGCTTGTCTTTGCGCGACCTCCAACATCCTAACCACAACGCTTCAGTTTTGTTTGTGTTAATTTCGAGACCACTGATCTGCTTGAATTTGTCTAAATGTTTTAGTAATTGTGTGACAGAATCAAGATCTCGCACCAAAACGGTGGTATCGTCTGCGTATTGGGTTATCTTAATTTCATTCTGACCGACTTGGATACCTTTAATAGTATGGTCTTTCTTAAGTACTCTAGCTAAGAGTTCGATTCCAACGACGAAAAGGAGGCCAGACAGTGGGCAACCTTGTCGCACACCTCGCTCGAGAAGGAAGAAGTCCAATGCATGACCATTGTGCAGTACACAGCTCGATGCTTGGTTGTAAATAACTTGAAACCAGTTGAGTATGTCAGGGCCAAAATTAAACGTTTGTAAAGCGGCTCTTAAGTAGTTCCATTCTATTGTATCAAACGCTTTTCGAAAGTCAAGAAATATGGCAATACCGGGTTTTTCTTCCTGCTTAGTGTGAGACATTACATCTTGAATTAGTCTAACGTTTTCACCGATAAAGCGTCCTTTAATGTAACCAGTTTGGTCAGAGTTTATGATTTTAGGGAGGACTTTTTCTAGTCTTTTTGCAATAGATTTTGTCAGAATTTTGTAATCAACGTTTAGTAGAGATATGGGTCGCAGGTTTTCAAGTAAAGTTTTGTCTTTGTTCTTTTTGGGGATGAGTGAAATGATTCCGCGCTTTTGGCTGATAGATAGTGAACCTTTTGGAAAGCATAATTAAAACTGGCAGTCATCTCAGTGCCAAGGTCACTCCAGAAGAATTTGTAGAATTCTGCAGAAAAACCATCAGTTCCTGGCGTTTTATTGTTTTTAAACTCTTTTAAGGCAGTTAAGCATTCTTCTTTTGAAATCATGCCTTCACACAGTATTTGTTCGTTTTCATCTAGCGGATCAATATTCTCTAAATTGAATAAATCAGATTCAGGCAGATTATCCTGGGAATTTTGCGACTTGTAAAGAGTTTCAAAAGTTTTTTTTTGTTCTTGTAGTATCTCAAACTGATCACAAGTTACCTGATTGTTAGGAAGTTTGAGCCTTGTGACTGTTTTTTTAAAATGATTCCGTTTTTCCAGGTTGAAGAAGTATTTGGAATTTCGCTCACCAAACTCATGCCACCGAGCTTTGCTCCTAAGAATGGCGCCTTTTGTTTTTTGTCGCATGATCGTGTGAAGGCGCAATTTTGTCGCGTAAAGCTCGTTCAATATTCTTTTGTCGCTAGGGTTGTGTTCACACTTTTGCATAAGTTCATTAACTTTATTTTGAAGGGCAGCCTCTTCATTCCTCTTGTTCTTAGCTTTGATTTTTGAATACTTGATTGTGAATCCGCGAATTTCCATTTTAATTAAGTCCCATTTTAGACCTAAGTCATCCAGGTCAGCATATTTATCTTTGAAATCCGGTAGACTTTCGCGGATTGCGGAAGTGAAGTCTTCGTCCTCTAATAGAGAATTATTAAATTTCCAAAAACCAGGAGCTTTAGGTTGCAATAAATCTTCTGTCTTAAGATGTAAAGTGACAGCCGAGTGATCAGTTTCAGGGGCGTTAATTATATTGCAAGCATGTGTGTCACTGCTGAGTTCTTTTGAAATTAAAAAGAAGTCTAGTCGGCATTGGATTTTTAGCGATTTGTTTCTCCAAGTGAAGCGGTTGTCGTTCGGATTGCGATCGCGCCAAATGTCTGTTAAATTATAGAGGTTCGCAAGATGCTGAACTTCTTTAATTACTATGGATTTTTTCCAAACTGAATTTCCACCTTTTTGTCATTTTCAGAAAGAGCGCAGTTGAAGTCACCTGCGATAATAATATTCTCTTGGGCAAAATCTTCAAGCTGATTTTCGAGCTCTTTAAAAACGTGACTTGCTGATTCGCGTCATTCGGGGCATAAATATTCACTAGAATTAGATGCAACTCATCAATTAATAGGTCAAGTATAAGAAACCTGCCATTCGTGTCTTGGATGCATTTTTCGACCTTGACATCTAAGTTCGGAGTAACGAGAGTCATGACACCTTTGCTGTGTGAACTGCCGTGACTAAAATAAACCTTCCCACCCCATTCAGCTTCCCAAATTTGGGCACATTCTTTAGAGCTGTAGGTTTCTTGTAAGAATGTGAAATGGAATTTTTGATTATGTAACCAACGGAAGATTGATCGACGTTTGATTGACTTATTCAGTCCTCTTACGTTTAAGGACTGGAATTTAACATCAAAACTAGGTTTTAAAGGCGTCTACGGGACAAAGGGAAAAAGTCAGAAAATTGCGCTGGCAACGGCGGACTTTGACAGCTGTCTTTTGGCCAAAGTGTGAATGTGAATGCAGTGTTTTGGTGATTAAAGTGTTCAAACTACTAGTAGAAATAAAATAAATTATCAAAGGACTTAGACAAACATTACTTAAGAAACATAAACAGAAAAATAAAAAAGGCGCTGAAAAAGGCCTTCGAACGCACCACACGAAAGTGGTTTGGCGTACTTGAGAGGGTAGCATAACAAGGGACGTAGAAAGCATCCGCAATAACAACGACTTTGACTCTGAATGTAAAATAAACGGATTTGCCATTTTGAAAGGTGCAAGTGAAAATTTGGTTACCGCAAGGGAAGCATGAAAATAGCGAGTAAGTCCTCGTATTTGGAAACACAAAACTAGAGCATGATTTTAAAGGCAAGAAGCAACGGAGTAAAAATAAAACTGGTTTTCAACTAAGAGTTAATTTTAAAGTTTTGTGAAAGGATTGGACTTACGGAAAAAGCGTCACCTATTCGCTTTGACTAAGCAGTTCTTGGGATTGGACCATAACATCAGAGGATTCTTCTTGACTTTGCAGTGGTTCTTGATGTTCGGCTGTACCATTGCCATAATCCTCATGGGTATTCACTGAAGAGTTGACAGGGAGCCATTTTTTCGGCACGTCATAATGAAAGTAAACTTTTCCATTAACAACTAACTTATCTCCTATGACGGAAGCTTTGTGGCTAGGTGTTTCTTGTTTTATCTTCTTCATCGCAGGGATAAGGACGTTTTTCCTGATTTCTTGTATGTGCTTCGGTAGGTCTTCACTCATTGAAATACGCGAGTTTTTCAGCCTGTAGCGAGCTTTCCAGACACGATCTCTGTCAGCACGACACGTGAAGCGAGCAATAAGAGGTCGGGCTCTGTTTCTGTTTGGCTTGCCAAGACGGTGTGCCCCGCAAAGCTTCATATTCGAGACTTCGTCTTGTGGTAGGTTTAAATTTCGGGTTAAGACGTCACGTACCAGCGAGAAGCAATCCTCGTCTTTGGACTCATTGACTCTGTAGAAAATTAGATTCCATCGACGACTATAGATGTTTAAATGAGTCAGCTCATCCCAACAAGTTGACTGCTCGTTTTCGCAGTTCGCGACGCGTTCCACAAGGTCGTCATGCTCACCTTGGGTGAACTCAAGGGAATCTTTAGTGTTGTTCACTGTCTTATCGACTTCACGGAGTTGTTTCTTTAAGGCTTGTATTTCAACTTGGGCTTCGTCAAGTCTAGCCTCCAGATTAAGAATTCGTTCTTCGCGGATTTTGGTGTTGTCTTCGATAGCTGTAAGTCTTAATAAGAAACTTTGATATTCTGTTAGCGTCATTTTGATGTAGGCGCCATCTTGGGCTGCTTCGATGGATTCCGTGTCGGTGCCAGAGCTGCTTATCCTCGGTCGTTTTTTATCTAAATCTTTGTTTCCCATGTTGGTAGCTGTTAGTACGATGAAAAACGTACAAGAAAGACAATATTCACTGTGTTGTGTTGATTTCTCAAAGCCGGGTTTGCGGAGCTTTCAAATGTGCGTCTACTTCCAAGAGCTCATGCCCAGTCTCTCGTAATGTGTCTTCTGATGGTAACCACGTACTCAAATAATGAAGCTGGAGATCAAAGTGAAATTATAGATCGTTCCGATATATGAACACGAAACTTCAAGATGGCATGGAAAACCATTTATTGGTTCCTTTTTGTTTACTGGAGACATAATTGTAGTCGTTGTTGCAAAAGGTTGATGGAATTCTACGTGAATAAGCTAATACTCGATCAGATTCTGGCGGATTTAATACAGTAGAACCTCGATAACTCGAACTCGGATAACTCGAATTCTCCGCTAAGTCGAACTAAATTTGCTTTCTCTTGATCAAGATTTCACTGAAATTTACCCCGATAACTCGAATTCCCCACTTAAAATCGAACTATTTTTCGTTTGCCTTTAGAGTTCGAGTTCACCGCCGGGGTTCTACTGTAGTCATGAACAAGTATGTTTAAACGCCATGTACTACAAGTATTTTAGTTTCCAGTTCATTATTTTGTTCTCAGTTTGAGTCCTGAATTAAAAGGGCGGCTTAATAAGGGCTTAGCAGATAAGCTTGCTGGAAGCAAGTTGGCCTGACTTTTTCTTTTTTTACATATATGTTCCCGCTGTAAAATTAATTCAGTCAAGACTCTTTTGCTGTAT